AATAATCTAGAGTAGTGTGAAGATACAAGGCAGTTGAAAATTATAAAATGCTTAAATTTTTTTTTTAAAAACAATATAATTTTTTAATAAAATAATTCAGTTTTCAATTATTCAATTCTAAACATTCAATATTTTATAATCCTTTTTTAAAATAAACGAAATTGTACATGTTTATCTATGTTCAAATCGATTTCATTTTAAATTAAAAACATTCTCAAATTGTATAATGAATTAAAGAGTGCCTACGAAAATTTTGCTATAAAAGTAAAGAGTATAGAAAAATAAAAATCGAAAAAGGCATTTAAAATTTCATTGAGAACAAACTATGCGGATCGGCCCAACTTTTTCTTCTGTCAAATGAACAATTTTAAGAATTTCAATGAATTACTAGGATATACTATGCATACCCCCAGCATCTTTGAAAATAATATAATACATAATTATTTAATTTATATAATTTGTAAAAATAAAATATTCGAATAATGCTATTAATAATGTAATCATTCAATGTTTATATAGTAAATGGTAGTTAGCAAAGTAAACGTAATTAACATTTTTACTTTAACTATGAGATGCCATAGAAAAGAATAAAAGAATATATAAAATTAGATGTTAATCCATACGATTATTCTAGATTTTTAAATTACAAATATTAATTTGTATGTGATTACATTGAATTGCAATACTAAAGAAAAATTTATAAGGATAAACAATTCGATTATTGCATAATTTGTAATAGAATTTATATTTGTTAGTCACATTAAAATTATTTCATAAATTATCCCATTTATATTTGATTTTTACACATTTAATATATTATTTCCAGCTCATTCAAGAATAATTTCAATATACCTTATAGAGAAAAAAAATTTCGAACCCTATGAAATTCAGTTGAAGCTGTTGCTTTTTATTTTAATAACTCTTAATGCCATTAATTTTAATGTTTAGTAATAAACATAAAAATATTAATGTTTAAAAACTTATACTTAAACTTAAAATTTATTTAATCCAAAATAAAAATTAATTTAAAAAATTATTCAAGTAAATAAGTATTTATACAAATTATAATTTTAGTTTTACTTTTATATTTATAATGTGCACGCATATAATGAAATCTTTAATTTCAGTTTTAATAATAGAATGTTTCACTGACTATTAATTTATTAGTAAATCTAATAAATATAGCGTGAATATTATTAATACAAACTTGCAATAACAAAGATTAATTAATAATATTAAAATTTAATTTATTATATTTAAATTATTTTTAGGCTATACATAGTCCAAATATAAATTGTATAATGAAATTACTTCATGTATTTATAAAATAGTCATGTAAATAAAATAATAAATAAAATTATTAAGGAAGGAAATTAATCATGTAAAAGAAAACTTTCACATATATAGATTCCTAAATATGTACCATATGAATAATAACTATTAATTTATTTATATATATTCAAATTATCGAATAATCAGAAAATAAAGTTTCAAGTTTAGCTAATTATTTAGATACATTTTCAGTACAATGTAATAATAATGTAATACTAATCTATAAATTAAATATTTAATTAATTCTTTTAACTCTTGTATTTACTAATTTTAGTATTTCCTACCTTAGACTCAAACTATTATTATATAAATTGTAAATATGTAAATTTTATAAAAATGGTTTCAGATTTTCTTTTTATAACTAATACTTTTAAATGATTGAATGTGCGTGTGTGCGTGCGTGCGTGCGTCCGTCCGTCCGTCCGTCCGTCCGTGTGTGTGTGTGTGTGTGTGTGTGTGTGCATTAACCATTTATCAAATTATATTGATTAACCATTTATCAAATTATATTGAATCATAATTTTATATAATAAAAATTTCATGTATAAAATAAATATGCATAAGAAAACAAATGTATTAAACATATTTATTCGAGCATTGTATTCTATGAATATCATACATATTTATGTCGTCTCAATTTATTCGTATTCATTATAAATAAAACTAATATAATTTGTTACTCATTTAATTGTAAATTAGTATTTTTATGTCATTATATATAAGGATATTAATTAAAGATACATTTTTTAAATAGAAAGATAAAATCATAACTAAGTTAGGTAGGTGCGTTCGTATGCGTGCGTGCGTGTTTTTGAGTACGTGTAAATTGATAAATTTTTAAAATATTTAAGTAATTTAAGTAAAAAATAAAATTAGTAAGCATTAATCAGATGTAAAAAGTAGCACTTAAAAAATATCTATAATTAAATAGAAAATTCTATAATAAATAGAAAATAATATTTTTCTTCAAATTTCATCTAGCTATAATTGAAATTTTCAATTTTTCTGAATTAATGAAAAAATAATTATATTTCATTAAAAGAATACTTATAAAACAAGAATAGAAAGTGCCAAATGCAGCGAGGTGTTTCGATCGCGTGAAAACAAATCGTATACTAATTAGAGTGTTTGTAAGATTTCTTTTCGTTATTCTCTAATTTCAAAGAAGCTTCGACGTATAAAGAATATTTTACTCAGAATATTTTACAAAAATTAACTCATATTATAAAAATAAAAATTTATTTATACAGAATTCATATTTTAAAAGTTATTTATAGTATCTCAAATGACTATAATTTATATGCAAAACTTAGTGAAAAGAAATTTTTTTACATATATAAGTATCATATGTATGTTTTAACGTAAATAAAATTCAAATTATTGATTTTGAATAAAAAAAAGCATTTAGGTGTAATTAAAGTTTGCAGAAAGATTATTCATTATATGAAATTTAAAATAATTAGTACAATATTATAATACTTGGCTATAATGGAATTATTATTAGAACTATTTTAGAATTAAGAATTATATGGCTTTAACATCATACAGGACTTCAAAGCAAAATATTGTGTATGTAATTGCAATTGTATAATAAGTGTAAAGAATTTTTTTTATCAAAAACAAATTCCTACTTTGATAATCATTGTACTAATGATAAATTGAAAGACTTGGAGGTACATTCATATATTTTAAATATTAATTTTAGGTATATTTGGAAGTATATATTCATAAATTTAATCGTTTCTTTTAAAACGGCAAATATCTTTTTACCATATTTTCAAAACGCCGATTTTCTGTCTTTTTTTTCACAATGTATATACATACGTAAGTTAATTGTCGATTTTGGGTATATAAGATGATATTATAAGATATTATAATATTTAAACATATAATGTTAAATGTATACGCACTAATATAATTAATTTGACATTTTTCATATAAGAAATCATGGCTTAATGCATAAATAAATCTAATAATATCGTTTGATATCTATAGAATATTATATTCCCAGATATTAAAAATATAACCAAACGATCGTATATTATATAAAGTACTAATTGATGAATTATATAAGATCACTTTTAATATAAAATCGATAATTTTTTAAAATAGTTAGATCAATGAACAATGTTTAATTCAATCTATTTAATTTAATTATTCTAGAAAGAAATTTATGAGTTGTTATGAATGACAAAATATTGATAAAAAAAAAATTATGAACAAACAATTAAAATGAAATAGATTAAATATTATTACCTTAAAAATACAATATTTTTTAATTTGATGTACACTAAATCCGTAAATTTTCTGTTATAAAGAGAAGTAAGAATGACAAAATACTTAATATATCAATATTAATAAATATTATTATTAATAACCAAATATTCATTCTATAAATTTTTCATACATTACATTCTTTACATTTAAATATATTTATGGTTTATTCATATTCCAATAATTTTAATAGTTTTATTTATATGCTATACATATTACTTTTTATAATATATCATAGATACAATTAAATTATATTATAATACTATCGTTTATTGTAAATGAAATAATGATTTTTCAAAATTTCAATAATATGCATTTAATTAAACGTCTATTTAATAAAAAAAGAGTATTATGAAAACAATGGAAAAAAATACCCTTATTAATTACTGACATCTTTAAAATGAAAAAAAATAAATTGTAAATACATAAAATAAATTAATAAAAAAAAAAATGACAGAATTCATGAATAAATTATAATTTTCTTAATATCATAAAATAAAATTATATGCTCATCGACAAATGATAATAAAATGTATAAGAAAAAACTTTTATAGTCCTTTATACATTTTGTACTTTTATTATTTCAAATAATAGTTATTATTAGAGAAACAAATATTTCCTAACGTTTCAAGAAAGTTTTCTTCTATATTAAAGATATTCCCTATTCCGTATTAAATAAAAGTATTCTTTGATCATAAAAAAATATTTTCTGTTCGATAAAATATAAGGATTAATGATCTTTACATATAATAAAATATATAGATTAAATCTATAATTATTTGCTTAATATCAAATATAAATTGCTCATTTATCTCTATCGAAATCTACCATTTATTAATAATCAAAAAATTGATATTACATTTTCGATGCTTCCTTTAAAATATTTTTCAAATTTCTTGCAATAGGTATTGAGTGGCATATAATTTATAAAGGAATACTGTAAAAATATGATACTGAAAATAAATTGAAAATATAAAAATTATATAGAAAAATTGTTTGAGAATTATTACTTATATTATTACAAAGAGTCTCTTTACAATTACAGCTTCTGAAATAAGTTTCATTCTATGTCCTATAAAGATCAATAAAATACATAATATTCTGTATCGATAGTTAAACATTGTTGAACAATGTATTGAATTCAATCTTATTCACCATAGTGCTGGGATGTATGCGACGACAAAAACTCTTTCTAACTCAACATTGTAATTAATTTCTCGAAAATCATCGAAAAATGCAAAGATATTTTATTCTTCAATTAACCCGAGCTCATCCTGTAAAAATCATACACTAAAAAGCGGTTGCTTTCCAAACTCTTCGCAATGAATAAATATTTTGAACAAGCACAAGGAAATTCAAGAGTGTTTAAACTCGAGGCGGCTTCTCGTGCTTACCTCGTATGAAGAAATAAAGATCGCAATAGAAGTCGAAGTAAATGAAGTCAATGACCTCACATTGGAAGGACAACACCCACGGTCAAATCAATTAATCAAATAGGCTTAAAGGCACTGCAACGATCGACACAAACAACGATCTTAAAGTTTCTATTTCAAAGGAAACTAGGTACGCTCGGTTGATCCACACTCGACTTTTCAATTTCGAGATAAAAAGGCGCTAGCGTTCGCGCTTGCCGGTAAAACGCTTACTGCGCGAGCGGCTCGCACTCACGGACTCGTCCCTTATAGTCCGAGCGAGACTCTCCGCATATCTCTGTAACAACTGGACGCGAAATTCCAACGCGAGGAATGCGCCCAGTACCGCTGCAACACTCTTGACTCTGTTTCACTTAGCCTATGAGTAGGAGTAAGTGTATACGACACGAAATCGCTATCTCTCTCTCTCTCTCTCTCTCTCTCTCTCTCTCTTCTCTCTTCTCTCTCTTCTCTCTCCCTCTCTCCTCCCTCTCGAGCACAATCACGCTCCTTCTCCCGCTCTTGCTTTTCTGGGCCTCAAGGTGCGCGCTAAACGATCTCCCCCCCCCCCCCCCCCCCCCCCCCCCCCCCCCCCCCCCCCCCCCACCCACCGCAGACCACC